GGAATAACCAAAATGTGTCTTCCTTAAACAATTGTACAGAAAAACCTCTGAATTGTTATTTTTAACATGACAAAACTTCCGTTCTCAAGTTCTCAAGTTTTCTTCCTTAAACAACTTTAAGACAAACATCTTACTCTTTTCTACATCGTCGCTTTGCTCACGAAGTGACAAAAACCTCGAAAATCGATAATTATTCGATTTTGAGTTTTACTTGCCATTTTATTATAGTTGTCTCAAGGAACAATTTGACCAAGTTTCAAGGCAAAATATTATTTACTTTCTTAATTATTGTAAACAAACAATTGACAAAAAGCCTGAAATCGGTGATTTTCATTTTTACGAAGTGTAAAAAAGAGTAAAATATTCTTACGAAGTGACAAAAAGTCACCTCGTGAGCAGGGCTAGAAATTAAACATTGCTCTACACCCGGCAGGATGGGAGCATACACGCGCGTGCGAACGATGTTAAAAAAGAACAGACGCGCGTTCGCGTAAATAACATTAGTCTATACGCTTATCATTTTGCTCACAGGCGCAATAGCAAATGTTGTGTCTAGGTTTTATTATACAAATAATGAATGTTTGTGAGTGCAATGGTAAGAATAATTTCTTGAGGTGACAGATGAAATGTCCCATTCCACGAGGCGAAGCCGAGTGGAATGGAACATTTATGATCTGTCACCGAATGAAATTATTCTTTCCATTGCACGAACGTGAAACATTCATTATTTGTTTTATATAACACCTGAATAAATCCTCATCTGATTGGTTGACTTTTAATAGTAAATTTATTCAAGTTAAAAATTGTTTACAAGTTTGACAAGTTCAGAGTTATCATATTTAATTTGTGCAAACTGTTCAATAGGTTGCGAACTATCATTATTCAATTTATCTCAATTTAAAATTTTTGTTTAAAACTTAAACAGCACAATAAGTCCAGAACTTTTATTGCCAATTAATAAATACCTTGGAGAGTTGATGGTTTCTGAATGGTCGAGACTCGATCACGTGGCCGTGCATTAACGGTGATAATGACCGGCTTCAAAGAACAAGCGAAAAAAATGGCCCCTTGACCAGCATTGATCCAGCCCCATGGAAGGCAATGATTGGCCAAATTTACAACAGTCATACGGCAGCTTGTAACAATAGACCGCTTGCAGACGCGATCGATAATTGATGCGCGAAGGTGCGCGACGCCATGTTGTGGGACAAAATGTGCATGGATAGATATACGCTTGTCCCACAACATGGTGTCGCGCGCCTTCGTGCGTTGATTATCGAACGCATCTGCAAGCGGTCTATACAGCACTGCACATGCGCTCAACCACCTTCGCGTGAGACTGACGCGCGCGTACGCAACACAGTTGCTATGGGTGCGCGCGCGTGTAAGGAAGTTTTAAAACGACTGGACATCGTACATAGTTAAATGGACATTCTCAGAATCCATGAAAATATCATCTTCATCAATCTCCATATTCTCCTTAGGATACCGTGTGCTACTTCGCTCTTTTGCTGGCCCTCTTCATTTTCAGCAGCATCAGTGTCCAACGGATCAACGAGTGATGGTGGCAAGATAGGGCCAATTGACCAGACAGGCTCCAGTACATGAGTACATGTACCCCTTCAACTGTCTTCAGCCACCCTTGACCTTTAACAAACGGTAAATTAGGGTCAGCAGCACGCCTGTAGCCGACCGGCCACACGGTGGTTGACACGCTGCACATGATGAAGGATGAGTGAGTTATGGCAGGGAGGCAGGCGGACCATGTCAACCTTCCACTTGCAGTTAAGCTTGTGGTCCTCTCCCGCAGCAGCTTGCTCCTCACCACATTCATATACATGTCTCACGCACTTGACTATATAGTCGTGTTCCCTAACGTGGCGCACTTCGAAGCTTACCCAACTTTCCTCGTGTAGTGTTGCCAAACTTCTTTGTTGACAAACCTCAAATTCATGCAGTGAAATACTGGTACTTTGACCTTATTAATGCTTGCTATTTAAAGGTAGAGTCCATCATTTGTAATTTGTGCATTTTGTTCGTTTGAAGCAACAAAAGAGTTCAAAATCTAATGAAGGATACTGAGCAACTAACCTGATGAAGTTTCAGCTAAGCTTCAGCTGTACATTCCGAGAAAAACAGCATTCTAAGATCTCAATTTCAAATCAAAAGTTGCTGAATCATGTTTTTGAATTGTTTTGAATTGCAACTATACGCGACGTCGCGCACTGATCCGACGAATTATAACAACCGCGCGCGCGTGTGCGTCGTTCGAATACTTGTGCGCGCTGCGCTGAATAACAAAACGAACTACTAATTTAAATTTTCCTACGGTGCTTCTTAAGAATCACCGTTGGAAATGCCTTCTTTCGTTGATTACTTCAAAATGACAGCTTCCCAGAAAGAATAATTTCACAGGGAGTTAATCTCCTTACTATCTTTCAACCAAATTAGTTTTTCAACAATAATTACGCCAGTTACTTTTCGGATGGCTGCAAATGATGGACTCTACCTTTAACATCTGTGAACAATTTCAGTTTCATAAAATTTAAGCCGAAATTAAAAAACGGTGGCGTCCGGAAATTGGGCACAAATTGGCGGAGTGTTCCCTAACGTGGCGCACTTGAATACATCTCGGAAAATTCCAAATTAACATTTAAGAATTTCTGTAAACTTGATAAATTCTGATAAAACATTATTATCTCTACTTACATACCCAGCCAGATGTTTGTCAGAAAATTATTTCCTTATTTTTCGGGGCATTTTCAAAGGGTTCACTTTGCACTTGAAAATAAAATCGGAAAATCATGCCAAAATAATTTTTTCTTTTAACTTTGTAGCGGGTAAATAAACTCGCGATTTATGAACGGGAGTGTTTAGAACTTGATGAAATTTCACTTTCTGTAAAATTTCAGTTAAAACTTTTGCTCTAGCTAGGCGCTACAGCCGAAAAATCAAAGTGCGCCACGTTAGGGGCCGCGCCACGTTAGGGTACATCAACAATACATGGCGCAGGTGAAGGCCTCCAACTGCTCCTGCGCCCCTGGGGCCACCCTCCCTGTCACGCCGACCTGCCTGTAACACAGTTCATAATAAACGATCACTACATCAACCACAATGAATTTGAAAGAGCACTTGAATGTGACTACATGCAAATAATTGTTGAGTATGCAAATGTTATTTGCCTGAAAACCTTGTGGAACTTGAGTGTTCTTCTGGAGCTTCTTCAGTGGCGCCACCTTCCCCTTGCCCTGGTGGCAAGGGCACTGGTGCAGTCCTTGCCGAGAACGCATATAGGCCAAGCACCGGGCAAACATGACGGTACAGGGCACATACCGGCTTGTTATGGGCTTGTTCTGGCAGTACCGTAAATTCAATGGTCCAAAACCAGAAAAACGGGCCATTGCTGGCTTGATTGCAGCAATGCAGTTCCGTGTTGACGGCACCATGACGGCACAGAGCTGGTCCAGTGCTGGCAAACCTTAATGGTAGCACAATACAAAGCCTGAATCAGGCCAGTGCCGGCCCTCTTGCGACAAGAATAACGGTAAGACCGCACACAGCCTGTATCGGGCTAGTGCATGCCTCTTACGACAAACCATATCGGCAAGACGGTATGCCTGAATCGGGCCAGTGTCAGCCATCCTCTTGCGACAAGCCGTAACGGCAAGAAAACGGCACACAGCCTGAATCGGTCCAGTGCCGGCCCTCTCAAGGCAAACCATATCCGCAAGACAGTATAGAGCCTGAATCGGGTCACCGCTGGTCCTTTCAGAAAGACCACTTTGGGCTCGATAACATATCTTGCCATAATGGTTTTGACAGGAATATCACTGGCCTCGTCAGGCCCTGTACCGTCTTTCTGAAAGGACCAGCTGTGACCCGATTCAGGCTCTGTACCATCTTGGCGTTACGGTTTGTTGTATATACATGTAGAAGCACTGGACCAGCTCTGTGCTGTCAACACGGAACTGCATTGCCGCAATCAAGCCAGTAATGGCCCGTTTCTGGTTGAGGACCATTGAAACTGTACGGTACTGCCAGAACAAGCACATAACAAGCCGGTTTTTGCCCTGTTCCATCAAGTTTGCCCGGTACTTGGCCATTGGAATGTGGTGAGGGGCAAGCTGCTGAGGGAGAGCACCACTAGCTTAACTGCAAGTGGAAGGTTGACATGGTCCGCCTGCCTCCCTGCCATAACTCACTCATCCTTCATCATGTGCAGTGCGTCAACCACCGTGTGGCCGGCCGGCTACAGGCGTGCTGCTGACCCTAATTTTGGGGCTCCCAAACCGTATGATGAGGGTCAAGGGTGGCAGAAGACAGTTGGAGAGGTACATGTACTGGAGCCTGTCTGGTCAATTGGCCCTATCTTGCCACCATCACTCGTTGATCCGTTGGACACTGATGCTGCTGAAAATGAAGAGGGCCAGCAAGAGAGCGAAGTAGCACGCGGTATAAGGAGACTATGGAGATTGACGAAGATGATGTTTTCATGGATTCTGAGGATGTCCCTTAGACTTCGCCACAACGTCGCTTGTTATAAATAACCCAGTAGTCTTTCTGTAATTACCGGTTCAGGAGTAATAAATGTTCATCACTTGCAAGTAGGTCTATGCGCTAAGTTGTATGTACTTATTTCTTCCGTCTTATGACCTTGAAGATGACCTTAACACAATGATGAAGACCTCAAATTGACACATCCTATGACCTCGAAAATCATGATTAACCATATTGTTCACATAAAATAGTCTTTGGGTTAATGAAGGTCTGAAAATGAAACAAAGAAGTATTTTATTAATAAAATGCCCTTGACCCTTGTCCTTGGAGCAAGAAAATGGCCTCTGATAATTTCTAAACCACCATCAATCAATTCCATGACCCTAAAAAAAAAATATAACTGTAAGCTTTTATCCACTGGCTATATTTTAAGAATTTTCATAATATTGGGTCATATCCAAAACTTAGGGGGTGGGATCAAATATTGAGCCATAAGTCCGAAATAAAATGACACATATTTTTTTTATTAAATGGATTTGGTAATTGGGATAATGTGGGAAATTTGTAAAGCAATAAGTAGGCCTCTATCACCATATCTATGGGAGCTAAGTAAAAAATAATGCCGGTGGGGAAATGAAAATGACACATTTTCTTTTACCTTAATGACCTCGACTTTTACCTGAATCACGTGACCTCGACCTCCAGCTATTTTAGAAACCTCGAAAATCGATTCAGCACTCCAAAAAGCCATAATGTTGACACCAAGATTATCAAAATCGGCTCATTAGTCACTAACATATGACATTTAGCATTTTAATTATTTGCACGGCAGCCATCTTGGAAATATGCAAATTAGGGCATCATGGGACAATTTTTTCGCTGGCAACATCAAAATTCTTTAATCCGATGTCCTAGGGATTCTAAAAATCATCTTGGAATTTTATTTTAGGGGGGGTGCATGGGAACCCATTTCTCCTGTCGTACTATACATGTACATCTACGCTGGTACTAAGTAATGTTCACTTCTGGATACCAATGCGAAGTGTGAAATGACATAAGTACATGTATAGAATAACCCTCAAATTATGAATCTATGCAACTGTGAACAATTTATCAGCTGAAAAAGTATTTGACAAACATTAACACAAACCGAATTTAACAACACACAATGAAACAAAGCAACTCTATACAGACACAAATGTTGAACATTTTAACTCTAAAATTTCCCACTAGAATCAGGAGTACCTCCAAACTGAATTTAATGGTTTTAAAATTGGACAACTTTTGATAGTGAAGAATTCTTTGAAATTACATTCAGAGTAAGCATAACCAATTTTAATCTGAATTTGGCTCAATACAGAGTGTCTTTGGAGAGGTATGCACCATTTTGTTTTGTGTACATTCATATAACAGATTGGTAGCATGATGAGGTTCAAATGGACTTTTCTTCCTTTGCAGCAGCATTCAGTCACATACACTCTCTGTGGTCCACTGTCATTGTAATTAACCCACTGCAAGCCCTCTTTGTCCTCATGTCATCAACTCTTGGGTCTGGAACCTATAAAGGAGGAAGTTGTTGGCAGAGGAGAGCGACATTGGAATAATTGAGATAAAGGAGGTAATGAGTACTAATACTGGAGTAAGGCCCGCTCTAAATGTCGAACCGCTGCCGTGTCGAATTCAATTCATTGCATTCGGCAAAAAAGTGGCAGAAGTGCGGCAGGTGCTCTAAACGCAGGTTTTCTGCCGAACGTAATTCAGTCATTCAAGATAAATGAACTCAGACAGAAGATCCTCATCACTCCACGAAATTTCCATGTTTCATGAATTGTAAACAGCTGGCCCGGCGGGTGGGCTATGCGCATTCGCGTTTTAAAAACGGGACCACTGTGTTTCTGAATTGGGACGTGCAAATTGAATTCGACACGGCAGAAATTTGACGTTTAGAGCACTGCCGCTCTTCTGCCATTTTGAGCGGCAAGCCATGCCGAACTTATGGCAGAAGTGTGGCAGTTGCTCTAAACGTTGAATTTTTGCCTTGTCGAATTCAAATAATGTCAATTTTTGGGCCATCATTTGAATTCAACACGGTAGAAGTTTGACGTTTAGAGCGGGCCTAACTCAGTCTAATGCTGCTGAAGAATTAGATTAGTCCTTTACTCGTAAAAAACGAAAATAATGTACAAAAATATACATACATGTACATGTATTAAAACTCTCAGTCATTTAACATGTAACAACTATTGTCAATGAAGTAGAGAATAATCTCATCTTATGAAACTTGACAGGAAGTGGGTTTCAAAGTAGAAATTTGAATTTGCAAGAAATCAATTTCCCTCAGGTTTTAAACAATTCGAAATTTGTAAATTAATTCAACTAAACATTGGCATATATTTGCGGTCTCAAACATGATAAACCTGCTTTTTCCCTAGAAAAATAGAATTTCCCAAGGTCAAACTTGAAGATAGCACCGACAGTCATCTTTAAACTTGCGTGATGGGAAACAGTCTGAATTTTGTGAATATGGGTGTCACATTTTGTGCTAGACATGTGGAAATGCTCACACGCCATTAACCCTAATTTAGAAGCATTTTGCCAGAAATCTTCATGAATATCCTAATTAACTTCTTTCTGCTGCAGCATACATGTACAAGTATCTCAGCCTTTGTAATATTGTTGATGGGTGCCACCTTCATCTATTTTTCAAAATCTGTAAAAGCCCTGGGAGGATTTTGAAGGATATGGGAAGGTACATTTAGGCTTGGCACTAGCCTTGGTCAAGGCGCTAGTTGTTATTCATCCGGCCGCAACGCGGTAAACAATATCTTCGCTAGCGGTATGCATGCAGTCATATGTCTATGCATGCAGTGCATTAAAAATACAGCGCGAACAGGGACCTCACGCGGCCACTATTTTTATGCAAATCAGTTGGACCCAATCTAGCGCCTTGGTTCAATCGTCCCTGTGAGGTTTGGGGGTGGTGCTCATTATGTTAATTGCCTTACCTGACCTTAAATGTCATTTTCTTATTGGTCGATCGTTGCGTGGAAACTTGCATAGTGAAACGTGGCACCGTACATAATCCATACACGTACATGTTGTGTGTCTCTGCACACGACACCAATGCACAAAAACTGTGGTTCCTGTCACGTCCGCAAAAGGCGAATAGCTGCAAATAATTTGATGACGTCCGGATTTACCAAGGTGTGATTGGACACTCCACATATTAGCCCCACCTACACTTATCTGTATTCGCATACGAGGTCGTGCGCTAGAAATCCAGCGCAAAATAAAGAAAAACATAAGCTTTTGCCGACGATTGAACCAAGGTGCTAGATTGGGTCCAACTGATTTGCATAGAAATGGTGGCCGCGTGAGGTCGCTGTTCGCGCTGTATTTTTAATGCACCGCATGCATAGCGCTAGCGAGGATATCGTTTACCCCGCTACGGCCAGAAAGAGTAACAACTAGCGCCTTGACCAAGGCTAGCTTGGCACCAATGCCTATGGAAACACTTCTTGACAATTACAGGTTGGCAATTTAGTATTACTAATAGTATATTTACCTTCATCACTGTTCATTGAATGCCTCTTCATCCCATTTCAATATTACTTGAAAAGTTTGAACTTCTTGAAGTGTTTCTGAATGTGTTCTTTAGGATAAGGCTTAACTGCAATACATGTAGCACAATTCTCAGGCTGCTCGATCCATAACGTATGGTCAATGCGAGCTGAAGTCAGTTCTGCAGAAAGAGTCCTTAAATTGTCTTCATTCTGTGCCTGAAAAAGAAAGATACACAGTTTGTGAAAATGTGGTGTTATATAATCATGAAGTTGTAGATAAATACAGTGTAATGTGTGGTGTGGTAGTTCACAAAATGTGAGGTGATCAACATACATTAGTAATCTTCAGTGCAGTGTACTTCATGCACAAGTGTATATGTTGGTAAAATGGGAGGGGGGAGGGCCCTTCACGCATAGCCTCTTTGTTAACATATCTCTTGATCGGCTGATAGCGTTTCAATGTGGTTTTAGTTATTTTCACCTTTGGCCCAACAACCAGACAATTTTTAGCTGTTTCGGTGTACACACCGAAACAGCTCTTGTTTTTGTTTTTTTCTTTTTTTTCCCCTCCACAGGATAACACGTGTTTTCATTCTACACAGGACTTTGGGACTTAGACCACCATTTAAAGATTCAGGCCAAATCAAATCATGTGTCACGTGACGTCATCCGAAAGAGTGCATATTTTAAGGCCCTATACCCACAGAACTGGAAGTCCGATCGGGTTCAAACTAGGTATGCAGGTATTCCGGGACATGTTATAGACAAAAATTGCAGTGACGTCACGATGACGTCATCATGTGATTTTATATAAATTATTCAATTTTTTGACTTTTTACTCATATTTCATAAACGGAACATGGTAAATTAAAAGGTTTGCTAGGTCATAGATAGATGCACAAAATTTTGTAAAGTGTGATTTTTTGATGCACATAAAAGGATATGTCTGATCATTATGAAACTTGGTGGGTAGGTAGGTATTGATAATAGTATTCAAAATCTGAAGTGACGTCATCATGACATCATCATCTGATTTTTTTATTAATTTTTAGAATTTTTATATTTTGTTTGAAATAGGGCTATTCCACACCAAAGTGGACATGACACCAAAAAATTCAAATACATGTGACTTAAACAAATTTGGCATCAAATGAAAGCTAAAAGTCTATATTTTCAAGATTTGAAGTCGGAATTTTATTTTTTATACATTTCGGTACCAAAAACTAGGATTATGTAATTATCCTGTTTTAATCCTAAAAATGTGATTAATAGTGATATGAAAGTATTCTACCAATAGACACACAAAAATATGTACTAATGCCATCAGTTTCTGTCATGAGAAAGTATTGGTCTTGAAAAACCGACTAAAACTTGTTTTTAACATTTTGCGTAATTTGTTTCGCTTCAGTGATTTCTAATATTTCAGCCTTCGAAAATGTCCTTCCGTTACCGAAAAAATACATATTTTTAATTTATTTTTAAAACTTGCAGTATGAATGCATTGAAAGTTATTGTGCAAAGCAAGTTTAGGTAGGCCTTCAATATGACATTATAACTGACACTGCTGTACTTCTCGTTTTTTAATTACAATTAATTAAATCACGTCCTTCCGTTACCAAATTGGTAACGGAAGGACGGTAACGGAAGGACAAATCATATTTTTATCAAATGTTACGACATTTACGCTCATGTTTGAAAAATGAAAATCACTGCAAATACATGCATGTATAATGAGCATTGAAAGGACATTCATGTGACCCACCTTCACAAAAGCGGGATAAGCAGGGCAAGGTGTTTATTACAAAGGAAGGCACAGGCATGTACAACATGTACAATGTACATGTACATATATGCCTATGTACCAGTACTTGTACATGTATGGAGTTGTTGCAGAAAATCAAATCATAAAGTTGCTGCCATCAGCATTCATGGACAATAGAGAAAGATACAAATTCTGTGAAGCCATTCCAGAAGCAAATTAAGTCAAAATGAGATGGCAGAAAGTACCGGTACTTTGGGGCACTTTCATTCAATTTACATGTGTAAGACATGTGCGGTGCAGTCTTTGACAAATTATGCCCAAGTTAACAACTTCAGTTTGGATGTTTATAAATTAATTGTTACTACTCTAAATCATTGTAATTTGATTTCAAACATTGATTTTAGAGTTCAATTAAAAGCAACACCAAACTGAAGCCATCAGTTCTACCGGTAGATGTTTTTACCTTAAATGTACATGTAGGCTGGTCACCCCCCCCCACCCTTTAGGTAAACCTTTGAACCTGCCGGTATTATTATTAAAAGTTGTTGGTGAACATGTAACCAATATACTCAAGTGTTCAAATACTGTGTATTTAAACTTTTAAGGATTGAGATGATGGGTTTGAAGTCTATTTCTGTAGTAGTCCTGTGTTCGTGAATTATGTGTTTTGGGTTGTTTTCGTTTTTCTTTTGTTATCATTAATTAGCAGGCTTCTATCTTTATCTCAATAGTTTCTTGGGTATAATTATTTATGCCAGGTCTGCATATTGTTGATTTCACATTCAGTTACACATTTAAGCAATTTGTTTCACTTGTATAATTAGTGTAAATTCACATTTTGTTCATGCTATAATTGAGTAAACCTTTTGTCCTTCCGTTACCGTCCTTCCGTTACCAAATTATAATCTGCTTAAAACGTTGTAATTATATAACCGAAACACTTAAAGTCAAATGAAAGGTGGTATAGTATAGATAAAGCTTCAGGGATTCCATTTCCTACCTTTAAAATATAATTGCCCCATAAAATTCACAGAGTTTTTGCAAAACGAGAGTAAGTTGGAAAACCCTTGTCCGTTTTACCGTCCTTCCGTTACCGACCTCATTAATATTCATAATTCATAAACGGGAGGCATTCATGCCCCCCAAAAGTGTGGAAAATGAAAGCAGCATTATAGCAGTACAAATGTGACATTTGTTTGCTGTAACTATGAACAGTGTCTGTGATACACACATTTGAAATTTTGTTTAATGAGTGAAAACGTCCTTCCGTTACCGTGGAATTGCCCAATACAAAAAATACATAACATACGCTCTGATCGACTTTAAACTTTAAACCGCCATCTGATTCAGGCCGAATCATGACGTCATAAATGATGTCATCATGTGTCACGTGACGTCATCCTAAAAGTGCATATTTTAATCCCTATATTTACAGAACTGGAAGTTTGATTGGGTCCAAACTCGATATGCAGGTATTCCGGGACGTGTTATAGACAGAAATTGCAATGACGTAACGATGACGTCATCATGTGATTTTTTATATGAATTATTCAATTTTTGGACCCTTTAGTCATTTAAAACTATGCAAGGGGCGAGCAGATTAACCCAATTGGGGCGAGCAGTTTAAGCTTTGCAAATTAGAATGATCAATTGTCAAACTGGGACAGCGAGAAGTCATAATTTACGGCATGCATCGGGTGTGCCTGGAATGTTTGCCCTGTATAAAGTGGATCGTCAAACTTTGGGGTGTGCCTTTCATCCCATGCCATCGGACGGAGAGGACCTTGAGTTTCACGACTGTGCCCACTGCCGGCAGCTGGGGAGTTTTCCCCGGGCACGCGCCTGTAGACCAAGACCGGGAGCCTCCTGGATGTCGCTCGTCGACTGGACAGCAGATTGGAGCTTCAAGCAAGTTTGGAGTTTGCACCGCTAGGGTGCTGCCTGGTTTGGGTTTGGCGACTTCGTCGGACAAGAGACTTGGGTCTTAGTTACCGGACCCTGACGTCACTTCATGGGGGTACTGATCCGACGTGTGTGAACTCACGAGTACGGCGTACTGACCGTACTAGCTGCTTAACGGGAGGACCCGTTAGAGACACCACTTTCCCCCCTTCTCCTGCTGCTCATCACCGGAGTCATCATAGAAACCCATCAAGACAAGAACTATGGACTTTTTGTTAGACACACTGCTCGCCCCGTTACTCACATTCTGGTAATCTATCATGGTATATTGTTATTTTCTTAAACTGAATTTTTGTGTTAAGTGTTTTGTATAGATTTTGTTGAAGTAATAATATCAATTGTTAACTAGAAATGTGTTTGTGGACAAACACAAGCTGTTTCGGATATTTGAAATACTCTGTGAACGTGATGAACACTTGATGAAGTCACTTCAAATGTCATCTGCCAAGAGAAAAGTCAATCAGACATTTAGTGTCAAATTATGAATTGAAGAAAAACGTGTACAAAACCTACGGGGAAAAATGCATCTTTAATGCGAAGTAACCTTACACCTGATGATGTCACGATCACGAATTTCTTCTAGGACCATCTGTGGGTTGTAGTCTAAGTGAGTACAAAGTCTAACGTCGATCAGATTTACGAAAGTGCCAAGGTAGAATGTTTTAAAACGTGTACAAACCCTATGGGGAAAAATACATCTTTAATGTGACGTTACCCAACACCTGATGACGTCTTGATCACAAATTTCTTCTAGGACCATCTATGGGTGATGGTCTGAGTGTTTTCCAAGTCTAAAGTACATCGAATTTACGAAGATGCCAAACTGGAGTGTTTTAAAACGTGTACAAAACATATGGGGAAAAATGCATCTTTAATGTGACGTAACCTAACACCTGATGACGTCATGATCACGAATTTCTTCAAGGACCATCTGTGGGTGATGGTCTAAGTGTGTACCAAGTGTAACGTCAATCGGATTTACGAAAGTGCCGAAAATGGAGCATTTTAAAACGTGTACAAACCCTATGGGGAAAAATGTATCTTTGATGTGACGTAACCTGACACCTGATGACGTCACGATCACGAATTTTGTCTAGGACCATTTGTGGGTGGTGGTCTAAATACGAATTAAGTTTAAAGTTGATCGGATTTTCGAAGATGCCAAACTGGAGTGTTTTAAAACGTGTACAAAACATATGGGAAGAAATGCATCTTTAATGTGACGTAACCTGACACCTGATGACGTCACGATCACAAATTTCTTCTAGGACCATCTGAAATTAATCGGTTTTAAAAAAGTGCCAAAGTGGACTGGTAGAATAAACGTGTGTTAAACCTATGGAAAAAAAGGCTGAAAAAGGAGAAAAAAAAGAAAAAAAAAGAAAAAAAAAAATCTTAACGAAAACAAGAGCTGTTTCGGTGTGTACACCGAAACAGCTAATTAAGGTGTTAACTGGTTTGCCTGTGCTTTAATATCCATGTCTACTTTGTTTTGGTTACTTTTCTGGGGAGTACATTTCGGGGTTGGGTTTATTCTTTTGTTTGGGGATCATAACAGCACAGACCAAGACCCTTAGCTTGTGTTGTTTCTTAACAAGTTACGTCGTGATGACGTCATCATTAGTCATATGACGTCATTTAAATTTTCCTAATTTATAACACCAAATTCACTTCTACACAGCCCAATATTTTTTAGAATACACACGTATTATGTATGTACATTCGACTTTGATGAAACTCCTACATGGCAGTGGTTGCTAAAACAGTAGAAACAGCTCTGTGTTTGTCCACAAAATTTCCATTTTCATGAGCAAAACTGTAATGATCATTTCATGTTGGACAAAACTATAACGAAGATATTTTGGCGAAGATATTTTTGATCCCCATTTTACCTTATTTTCAATTTTCGTTTTTGCCATTTTGAAGGGTAATTTTGTGCCTTTTTTGTTTTTATGCTAATGAAAATTTCCATTTTCATGAGCAAAACTGTAATGTCCTTCCGAGCAGAAACCTTAATGTTACAGCTATTTGGGCACAAAAATTTCCAAGAATTTTGGATATTTTGCTATCATAAATTTTCTTTTATTTGGTGATTCGCTGTTGTGTAAGTGGGGCCGTATCATAAGTCTGACGCCTATGAGGCGTCGGACTTATGAGGCATACAATTTATTTATTCCGCCTCATAGGTTCGACGCCTCATACGTAAGTCCGACGCCTCATAAGTCCAACAACGGAAAAACGAGGCGTTTAATTTGTCGGACTTACGAAGCGTCGGAGCTATGAGGCGTCAGACTTATGAGCCTTTATTTGGATAGGGGATGTGATTCTGTCGGACCTATGAGGCGTCGGACCTATGAGGCGTCGGACTTATGAGGCGTCGGACCTATGAGGCGTCAGACTTATGGGCCTTTATTTGGATAGGGGATGCGATTCTGTCGGACCTATGAGGCGTCGGACTTATGAGCCTTTATTTGGATAGGGGATGCAATTCTGTCGGATCTATGAGGCGTCTGACCTATGAGGCGTCTGACCTATGAGGCGTCAGACTTATGAGCCTTTATTTGGATAGGGGATGCGATCCTGTCGGACCTATGAGGCGTCGGACCTATAAGGCGTCGGACTTATGAGCGGACCCCGTGTAAGTACATGTTTTCAATGAGCAAAGTCTGGGTTACAATTTAAACAAAAAAAACCCTAAATTGAACAATTCTTCCCTGAAATGCCATCACAGCAACAGTGCCCTCAGTTGCCAATGAAAGCATTGAAAACTTTTAAATGTTTACAGGGAAAATACAACATTTGCAAACATCAAAAAATAAAACTACCAAATCATTTTGAAATACCTTGCTGGAATGTAAGTGAATGACAGTGTAAAGCATCCTGTAAAATCATGGCACCTGGTATACTGTCATTTTCAAGAAAAGTGGTATTTTTGTATCAATTTCCAACGCTGGTCGGCCGACCAGCGTTGGAAAAAACTGGCTTTTTTTCAAATACTGGCCCCAATTGACCATCGCACTTGTTTGCAATCGATTACACACCTATGAACGGGTACAAGCCAGCTAGACTGGTTCCCTGACCTTACAATTCCCCAGTGTATGTAAACTGCTCTGTTTCTTCTTATATGGAGTCAGGGAACCAGACTACAGGAAAATGATTGTTTTTCTTGGTTTTTATAGCATTTTCGAACCCAAAACCTCAAAAAAGTCACGGTGTAACTATATTTGCTATATATTTCCAACCCCCCCATCCATCCATTTCTGAAAATTACAGCAAAAGCAAATGATGTTTATTCCCTTTAAAGAAGTGCACTTTTTAATAAATTTAACCAAAAAGAGGTATCAAGTAGTTTTTATAATTTAAGAGGATTTAGAAAGTTGCACAAAATATGTTTCTGGGAAAAATTCATCACAGGGCCCCTTTAGTAGGGTTGTGGTTTATTGGGCAATGGTATGAAGATTTGGAGGGTGCATTTGAATGCAAACAACGAGAGTCTGAGCAAGGTTAATATCAGATGCGGGATTTTTTAGGAGAACTCTCTTTCACCACTCTTGATTGTTCTGGTGCTGATGCCATTGTCAATGGATCAGTGAAGGGTCAGCGCGATTATGTGATGAAGAAAGACGACTGCAATCACAGGCTCTGTTCTTCATGGATGACCTTTCATGGAAGTTGTTTGCCAAGAATAGAGGTTGATTCTCTGGGAGCCTCTGGTGCAGACGGTTCAGGTGTATACACAGTGGTAAAAGACATAGGGATGAGGTTAGGTGTAGAGAAATGTGCAGTTTTGACAATGAGAGGGGGAAAAAGTGCATTTAGATGGCATTCTTCTGCCGATGGAATGAGGGGTACTGATATCTCGGTGTTTTGGCATGTTTGGAGGCAAAACGTATGATGCATAAAGAGACTAAGGAAAGGCTAAGCAAAGAGTACATCAGAAGAGTAAAGAAGTGTCTGAAGTCAAAGCGGAGTGGTGGGAATATGGTGAAAGCGATTAACACCTGGGCTGTATTGCTGGTGAGGTATAGTTCACGTATCGTGGACCAAGGTTTGATTGGGATGGATAATCTGTGAAACGGATAAAGGTTTCAAGGTTTTTTTGTGCAGCGCCCACATTGTGTGAAGTTTGGCCAGCCATGCATGGTATATAAATCTGTATAATTTTCTACTAGACTAGAAGCCTCGGCAGTTTCTAGGAAGTCTTCTATTTATTTTGTTTAGCCTCGGCAGTTGCGAGCAAAGCTTTTATTAAATTATTAAGCCTCGGCAGTAGCAGGCAACTTTTTATTTCTTCTAAAGCCTCGGCAGAAGCAGGCCAAGTTTATCATTAAGAAACCTTGGTAAGTGCGTGGTAGAAGTTTATCAAATATTAATCATACCACCAAAAGACCTACATGTAGAACAAATTGCAATAGAAACCATTCAAGCGTCAAATAACTTCAAATAAATACACAAAAAACATTGTTTCTATGTAGTGGTGGGGTGTGTTATACATTTTTAAAGATTAAGCTTTGGGACATTTTGTCCTCGAACAATTCGTGTGGTGTACATGTATACAAGCTAATGCTTAGGATTCTTAACCACATGTGAGTGCAGCTGACGACTGTTTCACGTCATAATTTTATACAGGGCACTGTGGATAGAGTGGAAGATTTTCCGCCGAAAGTGCGCTTGAAGTCCACAGACAAGATACGATTATTTGCAAAAAGGGATGTCTCTAAATCCTTTTGATCATACAGATGGAAAACAATTGGACAGTGCTTGCATGGACCGTTTTAAAAGTAAAGCGAAAAATCTATATTTAAAGTTTGATTGAGCGCCTGAAAATGATGTGTTGGATTTGGTTAAGAAGTACTCGGGAAATACTGGGCTCAGGTTGTGATGCTCACAGTACATTTTGTTAGTACACGAAAATATGAAACCAAACATCTCTAAACACTTTGATCACACAGCAAAAATGTCTATGAGGTTGATGAGAAAACAAATGTAGTTCTGTACATGAGCTTTCAATGTACCTGAACGTCACACATTTCCCAGAAGTATACGGTACATTTTGTAACTTTAAACAGTATGATGAAAAATTAGTAGCGAAAAAAGTGAATAAAAACACATTTCCACTCCTTTGATGAAATTAGATTTTTAGTATGTTAACTGTGATATTTCCTTAATGTGATAGCATTATAATATTGTATTGCAATTTGTTCTAGGTCAGGCCCTGTTTTGTTCTAAATTGACCGGACTAAGATCTGGTTAAGATCGCAAAGTCAGGCCGACTTAATTTTTTTTAGATACACATGAAACAGTAAACGTTGCATACATTGCAGCTTACCTCTAAGACTACCTTGTGCATGTTATCCAAGTTAGATGTGTATAAGTGGACATTTTCATCTTCTCGAAATCGGTGCAAAACAGCCGTACATGCATGGCAAGCCTGAGAAAGAAAACATCAATTCAGAGAGTTTTTAATCGTGTTGCATACTGGTATTTGCTAGGTATTTTATACATGTACAGGGTGATTACAAAAAGTTTTTGTAGCCCACAAAAACGGGACAGATTCCAGCTTTTCTCTTCAGCCAACATTCGGTCTGGGTATTGACCACAGTCAGTAAAAGATTCACTGATATTCACCCATCCATGCATGCAAAGGATACAGGCCTCTCTTCTTTGTGACTACCCAAAAACACTACCAACACAATGCTTCCTAATATTTTTAAGGGGGTATTTAACGATATCTAATGGCGCAAACAAGAACCTGAACAAGGGGTGCCAAGATCTCCAGATCTTATCTCCCTTTAATTTTTTTAAATTAATTACAGATAAGGTTGACATCTTCACTGTCCTCCTGCGTTAACCTTTCCCATTTTTGTGGGAGACAAGGAATTATCCAAAGGGACATTTTTTTACTCACCCTGTATAGTATTTAAATTCAATTTTCGTTGAAATTTGTGGGGGATTAGCAAAACTATTTTGGAAACTTTTGGATCTACTGACCCCAAAACTATATGCTTGCATTTCTGTAAGGTCATCTTGGCCGCCATTTACAAAATGGTCACTTTTGGCAATTCCATTTTTCTGATAACCAGGCTTGCACAATGTAATGTAATGTGTTGATATCAACATTTTAAGGGGAAAGAAACTCAAGACAGCAAATTCATGATTATAACACAAATTTGACTCTCAAAATAGTATTTCTTCATGATTCAGATATCAAAAAGTGAAGATAACTTCAGAAATGATGATGCTGCTGGTTGCTGCGGCAAGTGATTGAAAAACTCGGTTTTCACAAATCATCAAAAAAAAATTTACTAGTAAAAAAACATAAATGTTTTTGCCAAGACATATCAAGTACAGTATTCACTGTTGAACAAAAGTGGTCACATGATCAACTGTTGAGCATTGTAGTAAGGCAATAGATTTTAAAGCCATTTTCACCATTTCTGCAAATTTTTATTTTAATATTGCGTTACTTTTTTGCCATATTACAGGTAATAATCCAAAGTTGTGGCAATAATAACAGCCATTCTCAACTGGAGCCAAACTTTGCTTACATGTACCTGGTGAGTTCATAGCTTTCAAAATTTGCTTGTTATGGTTTACCTCACATTTGGTATTATAGTTTCAGTATCGGCATATCTGAGATTTTGAAATAAATATATAGCCCACCACCTGAACTCAACCGAGTAATGTAGGATAAGAAAATTTGATGTTTCGGTAATTCATGTTAAATGGTTCTGCGACTTGAAGTCACCTTCATATATATGCATCAGTACTTGTTTGTGATCACTACAGACTAAGTAAGAGCTGGAGGCTGGAGCCACTGCTGCTACTACAACATTCACTGACTTCAAGCTACATGTAGTATCAGATGGCAGTACAAGCAACAAACAGAGAAATCCAACTGGGAGAATGTCAGTAGTGCTTACTTTGATGGAAAACTAGATGTGACCCTTTATCAACAGCAGGTTGGTAACAAACTGTATCCAAGCACAGGAAATGAAGACTACAGTGAGCGTGTCGAATACTCATGCAAGCATGACTGCGTTCAATTGAACTCTCACATGACTTCTCGCACTTACTCCAGCCTGGCCCAAGTAACCAACCCGCTGAGCCGGTTACTTGGGTAAGTATCCCATAAGGCCATGCTAAAACATGGCTGCCATGACCAGCGATGTGCCAGCGGTCGGAAGTTCAAAAACGAAAACTTGTATCCAAATTACTCTAGACAATGGGTAGAAATTTGAACATACCGTATGTGATTGTTAATAATGTTTCTGAAGCAGAATGGCTTCAGTCAAGTGTGTCACCTTCAATATATTTCAAACTAATCCACTTTAAAAAGGGGCTCCAAACTAATCCACTTTAAAAAGGGGCTCCGATATTTAATGTTTATTATTCATTTATAAATACCTAAGACAGTTTACCCATTCCCATTGGTCGAGAGCCTGTCAAGTGGCGTCTTGAACGGATGATAAAGACATGGCTGGCTGGTCTTAAACACTCTTCCAGTGTCACATGAAATTTGGACTCCTATGAAATCCAGTGCCTTTTATCATTTTATTGGTTGAACGTTTACAATCCTCACACAGGCATGCACAATACTAGAAGTGAGTCAGTATTTCATGGTCCTAAATTCACAATGCAATCGTCACAGTTGCTCCTGCGTGACATCGCGCAGTATGTGCGACGCACGTGCCAATCTCCATAAAAGGAGTTGTTTACGTCTTACTCGTGAGCTGGACATTCCATTATACAGCTACAGGGGTATTTCGCGCAAGTTGCAGTGCAACGGCTGTTTCTTTTCCATAGATTCGCCCAGACTGTATGGATGCGCCCTACAATCGGTTGAGAGATCAGAAACAGCCGTCGCATTGCAACTTGCGTGCCTGAACGACAAGATCGATTTGCATAAACATGATGTCGCAGCTTAGGGGTCATCGCTTCTTACATTCAAAATGGCTGCCATCAACAAATGTTTTACGTGTGCATATAGACTCCAGAAAGGTGCCTAACCAGCTAACTTTCTCGAAAAATTTGTTACAAGTATAACCTAATCAACCCAGAGGGCAAAAGCTGAGACATCATAGAATATAACCATACATGTAAGTGCAGTTTTGTGCGGCAAAAAATGACTCGCTCTCCTCAGTAGGTTGGTTTGCATGCTGTGTGGCAAAGGATACAGCGCAGCAAGGGACTTGGACTGTTGTGAAACATGCAAAACTAAATTAAACCAACTTTACTCACTCTTCTTACTTAGTCAAGTCTTAGCCAGCAAATTTCTCCAAAATGTTCATTGGGCAAAGAAAAGGTCCTCAGTATTTCACCAACCAAGTTGGAAGACTCATCTCGATTTTTAAGGAGACTTTTCTTCAATGTTTTGCACATGAGAGGGAAGTCAAGTGATTAAAAAATGAGGCTAACGACTAGACTGGTACATGTCCAACCATCATTTGTGAATTACAGGTACCCCTCCATACAAACCCGTAATTCAACGCTCCACTCAGTAGAGCTACTAGTACTGGACAGTCATCTGCAAAAGAAGTTTTGAACTGAACTCGTAAAAAATAGAGGTGTCCTAAGTAAAGGTAAGGATTACCCACACATGCCTACCCGTACCTGTGCAATTACGGCACCAGTGGGCCACTTCAAAATGTGTAAAAGATCGCCTCGGACAACGACGTACTGCACAAATCCCGTCATTTATTACGTAAGGAAAGATCGTATTATGGGTCCGGGTGTGGGAAGACACTGCACCAGTGACCTGTGAAACATGATGACGTCATTAAATTGGGCTGTGGGAAAGGGCGCCCCAAGCATTAGGTAGGTAAACGCGTTTGAGGCTACGTTACGGAAGCTTGAATTGCCAAGCTTCCGCGATACCGCGTTACCGCGATAATTTATCGCAGAAATCAGGAATTCAAAGATAAATCCTTCCGCGATACCGCGTAGATTTGTCTTTGAATTCCGGATTTCTGTGATGATTATCGCGGTAACGCGGTATCAAGGAAGGAATTATCTTTGAATTCCGGATTTCTGTGATAAATTATCGCAGTAACGCGGTACCGCGGAACTTAAGAATTATCTTTGAATTCCGGATTTCTGTGATAAGGTATCGCAGTAACGCGGTATCAAGGAAGGAATTATCTCTGAATTCAGTATTTCTGAGATAAATTATCACGGTAACGCGGTATCGAGGAATACGTATCTTTGAATTCAGGATTTCTGTGATAAATTATCACAGTAACGCGGTATCGAGGAATACGTATCTTTGAATTCTGGATTTCTGTGATAAATTATCACAGTAAAGCGGTATCGAGGAATACGTATCTTTGAATTCCGGATTTCTGCGATAAATTATCACAGTAACGCGGTATCGAGGAAGGATTTATCTTTGAATTCCGGATTTCTGTGATAAATTATCACGGTAACGCGGTATCGCAGAAGGCAATTCAAGCTTCCGTACTACGTAGTAGCAGTGTTACGCCCCAACTATCGCATCAGTCCCAACTATGGTTGGAACTGTCACTGTCCCAACTATAGTGCGGCAGTTGGGTCGGCCCGCGTAATTTTTATTCCTATAGGAGGGTTAGGGGCAATGTCATGAATAATTCATGTTTATCCATGAGAACGGACAATGACATCAACAGCATTGTTGTTAGTTACTCAACTAGTTACAATACTGTGACAAACATCAGCTTTTCCTTTAAATAATATTTCCGTACTAGAGAATAGTCTGGTTTCCTTAACATGAATCTCGTACTACAGAATGGAGATGAAACTTGTTGATTTTAGGCCATTTTCAGCCCTCAAATCCAACTTTATTCACCTACTAGACTTACCAAATATTCGTAGTATTTATAGAATAATTCCACAATGATGTGAAGAAGCCATTAACTTTGCGTTACACTGTTGTTTCTTCCAGGTACTTATGCAAGTTTTATAACGTTCAAGGCATTTGACGTATGTGCACAGTGTTATTGAATGCACCCATTGTTTGTGTGTTATTGACTTTTATACGACACCTGAATAAATCCCCGTCATCTGATTGGTGAATTGTAGATCACGTGACATATTATTATTCGGTATAATGCACGGTGCGACCATGCATTATACCCATGCGTTATACCGTTTCACTTTGCGCTTGTTCCATGACGCGGTATTTGCGTGCAAAATGCATGCTGGTGTGCGCGTTCAGCGTAGCGCGTATTGTTCCAAAGAGCCAGCGCTACAGCGTTGGGTTCAAACATTTTCGTGAAGGGGTAGTTCAACATCTTTAAAATCAAAATAAATTGTAGTTTATAATTTACCAATCAAAAGACGAGAATTTATTCTGGTGTTGTATAAAACAAATAACGAATGTTTTACGTTCGTGCGATGGAAAGAATAATTTCATTCGGTGACAGATTGAATGTTCTATTCCACTCGGCTTCGCCTCGTGGAATAGAACATTCAACCTGTCACCTCATGAAATTATTCTTACCATCGCACTCACAAACATTCGTTATTTGTATATTGTACACAGGTTAATGATGTACTTAACTAGACTAATGCAGAGATTTCATCATCAGGGTTGGTGACTCGTTTTGCATACGCGATACGCGCTACGCGCACTTTTAGCCTATTGGAACGCGCGCGCTCACTGCCACCCAGATTATTCAGCCCTGCCAAAAGTGCATAAAAGGCGAGCTGGAACAGCAATCGAGCGCGCTCTGTTCGCCTCCAGAACAAGCCCTGTGGGAAGAACCAAACGGATGTCAGGAAACGGAAGAAGAAGAGGAAAAAGGAACAAGCAAGAGGGAACAAGCAAGAAGATGAAGAAACAAGAGGAATTGAAGAAGTAGCCAGAGGAAGAAGATAAGAAGAGACGAAGCACGAAGAAGAATAATACCGATGTCCACACTGAAAAGGAAGCAACGTACAACGGCCAACGACAGCCCATGCATAATACGCCATGTACTGTGTGTACATATCCGCGCACCAAGCATGCTTAATTAGACTTGCTATCAGTCCAATTTGCGCACTGTGTTTAAGCGGCAGCACTTAAAATTTGCGTATGCAAACTAAAGTGACCCAATCTGATGAAGTGTTTAATTATTATTATTTGATGGTGATTGATTAAAACAAACAAGAAGTTTGGTTGTGAATTATAGCCACTTGTCTCTGCTGCCTGACTGATTTATGTCAGTTATTGTCTTTTTAAGTAATCTGCCTCAGAATAAAGGTTTAGGGCGAGACTTTAGGCCAGACTCTTAGGCAAGACTTTAGGGTCAGACTTTATAGGGAAAGACTTAAGAGCCAGACTTTAGGCCTATAGGACAGACACAAATTATATTGCCTCCTCCGCCCCAGCCTTCCCTTTTCTATTGCGTTTGCGCGCCAAGTTATAGTCCAACCCCTCCCCTTACCCTTCCCCTATCCATAAAGTCATCGAGCCTTGAAGAAAGCTACGCTACCAGACGAACTCCACTTGGGTCAGGTTGACGTCCTGAGGTTGTGACGGCGCCCTCAACGCTGGTCCCGGTCAAGCACTAGCTCAGCCATACATCACCGATTTCTCCTGGTTATTAATCGCGGCGGGTTTTTAGGGATTCGTTGTACCCCTGGGTATTTCGAGCCCCGGATTCCCGTTACAATACATTAAAGCATTTTAAAGAACGGTTGTCGTCGAGCTACCACACAGTAGCCTAGTGGATAGCGAGATGAGCTATGGATACAAAGATCCCTGGTTCGATTCCACGTCGTCGCTGCTCATTTTCATCAGCTATTTTTCTTCTCCAAATTTATCACTGAGATAATTTTAAATTAAGGGGAAAATAGAACGAGAACCTAAGTCTTGCAATGATTCAAAGGAAAAACTGAATTATTCATGACATTGCCCCTAACCCTCCTAGGAAAAAAAAATACGCGGTCGGCCCAACTATAGTTAAGATTATAACACCTCACCCACAGATTCTGTGTCTTGATTGGCCGAGAGCGAGTCACATGTTACTTTCTAATTTTGCTGTCTTTCTGTGCACGGCCAAAAGTACTATGCGCATAGCAACCAAAGTACTATACCATTAGCAACCAAAGTACTATTTCCACGCCGCGGTATTTGTGTGCAAATACATGCTGGTGTGCGCGTTGCGCGTAGCGCGTATTATTCCAAAGAGAGCGCGCCGCAGACTTGGGTTCAAACATTTTGTGAAGGGTTAGTTTTTAAGAGAGAAATACATTTTCCACCAATTTTGTATTGAAATTGAAGTTTATTTCAACTGTGTTCGATTTAAATAATTTTAAATATTAAAATCAAGCAGAATCTGTGGGTGAAGTGTTATAAAACAAATATTGAATGCTTTATCTCGTGGTGAAGTAAAACTAGCCTCCCTCGGTGATCCATGGACCATTCTATTTTCCCTCGGCTTCGCCTCGGGAAAATAGAATGGTCCATGGATCACCTCGGGAGGCTAGTTTTACTACACCACTCGAAGCATTCAATATTTGTACATTTGTATACTGGAGTTCCATGGTGCGTGCTGGCACCATGTATTCGTCGTGCATGTGTGTTGCATACAGGGCCGGCATGCCACGTGGCACTGCCTAAATTGGATTAGTTGTCCAGCTGGTTTGTTTTTAGTCCAGCAACATTTTGCAAAATTCAAGATTGGCGTTGCCGGCCAACTATAGATGGGCCCCACCCCAAAGGCGGATCCAGGGGGGGGGGGGCCAAAGGGGGCCAAAGGGGGCTATGCCCCCTCCCCCCCCCCAAAAAAAAAAAAACGAAACCAATTTTTTTTGTTATGTGACATCGCAATAAAGGCAGGCAATGAGTACACCACCATCTTTTCCTCAAACAACATTGGTTAAAGTGGTCAGAAATTGCCTCAGATCGCACCACAGAGCATCTAGAATCCAAAAAAAAATTCGGGGCCCTTAAGCGGGCCCCGAACCCCACGCCGTAATTTTTTGACCCACTTTTTTGGGGACCAAAATTTGTTTGGGCCCCCAAAAAAATTGTGTTCTGGATCCGCTCTTGCCCCACCCATAGCTAATGTCAAAGGTCCCAAATAAAGTTGGACATGTAACAGAAATGACAGAGCTGTAGGGAATGTTTTATAGTCGTACATCAATGTAAACTATAGTTGGGACTTGGGACCGCAAAATAAAAATATTGCAGTGGCCCAACTATAGATGGACCCCACCCATAGATAATTTCATTGGTCCGAAGTCAAGTCAGATGTGTATAAGAGTTGTAGGGAATGTTTTATCGTACAACAACGTACACTATAGTTGGGACCGCAAAATAAAAAGACTGGGGTGGCCCAACTATAGATTAGCCCCGTCAATAGCAAATTTCAGTGGTCCCCAGTACAGTCAGACGTGTATCAGAGCTGTAGGGAACATTTTATAGTTGTACATCAATGTAAACTACAGTTGGGACACCGCAAAATAAAAAGATTGGAGTGGCCCAACTATAGATGGCCCCCGTGATGACTCCAAACTATAGTTGGGCCCCCTTGATGACTCCCAACTATAGTTGGGCCAGCCAAACTATGGAAATAAAGTTGGGATCGCCCCAACTATAGTTGGGACAGGCCCAACTATAGTTGGGACCGATACCATAGTTGGGGCGCCACACGTTATATCGGATGTAAAATGCGAGCGGGATTTTCATTGATGAAGGAGAAAAACAACTTTAAAAAGATGACAAAATGAAGAAATGAACAGACGAATAAAGGAATAATTAAATAACGAATGAATTAATA